AACCTTTCTGCAATCATCCGCGATATGCAGACGTTCTAAGAAGGCAGTGCTGCTATACTTGTGCAACGTTTGTATAACAAATAATTCATAAAACAATAATTCTTAGTGTTTGAAGCATTCCGACATAATTCGATATAATTTATTTTCATCCATTTTGGCTTATTTTGCGAATATTTTAATGGAATAATTTTAAAGTTTTTTTTGAATTAGTGGGTTATTGTAAAATATAAATGATATTAATAAATCACTTTTAATCATTGATTATTTTATCATTAGAAAGATTATATTTTTTCTAAAATACTTAAAATATTTTTTGTTGAAAAAATTGTTCAACGTTCGACAAATACATTTGGTAAAAAATAGCAATGAAAAATTATGACTATAGTTTAGTTTCGTTATTTTGAAAAATTATTTCGGCAATTATAGATAAGTGGAATTTCAACAGTGGTCATTATCCTTGAAATGGTTTCAATTTTTAACAATTTAATAATTTTAAGAACTCCGATAACTTTTCAGCATACCAAGTAAGTTGCTTACTTCTTTTACAGAGAGATCTTGTCTTGGCATTGGAACTGATTGCAGAGAAATAACGAGATTGATGCTAGTAAGTTTTGAACACCATTCTGCCCATTTGCACCAATGTGCTTTGAGACCTATCATAACAGTTTTTTTGTATTGCAGAATTTTGCAAAACAATAAATTAGTTTGACAATTCAGAATAATTTCTTGCTGGCATCGAAGTAGCTTATTTAAATATTTTAATAATAAATCCACACTAATAGGGAAACATAATAATAAATAAGTTAATTAACAACCAAGCACTCACAAAAATAAGCATGGCTGAACCTCTTGAATTCAACAATAATTCTGTCTATATTTCCCTTACAGTTATAAGAACCATCATATGATAAAATGGATCCGACCAGCAGTCCTAATTAATCATTACATTTCCCTCGCCTTTAATTTATCCGACCTACTTTTTCACGTTGCTGATAGGAGTGGATAGTGGATTCTAATGCGATCCCCTTATATTTCATCGGTTTAATAAGCTACTTTATTTGGAAATATAACTGAATAATATAAGTGAATATTAGTAACTCGGAATGGTTTTTTCACCTGCTGAATAGTGTCTAAATAATATTTACCAATTCCACTTAAAAATAATGATTCAGGTTCAAATAGAGGAATTCCAAATATCCCGCATGAACTGGGTTTCCTATTTCCATATTTGAGTGATACTCTCAAATTATCGTTGGAAGGGGTATTAATTTGGAAATCGACTTCGACCAGGAAGAGAATTCGCTTCCTGACTAATTCGCCTGAAAATAAAACCCTTAGCTTCATATCTCTGCAAAAATTAAGCTGAAAAGAATAGCCTGTGGTTATATAATCATAAATGAGGAAAAACTTTTATCAAAACATGAGAAAAATTCTGAAAATAAGGTAAATGAGATTATATCATCGACATATTTCTGTATTTATCAGTTTTCATATAAGCAAATCTTAAAGACCCTGCAGAGATTATCGGTAAACGAAAGGTTGATAAACCACGACTTAGTTGGAATTGCCAAGAAGTGGGACGTCGAACGATTTAGAGAGTTCGTTGCTCGGATAGCTAAGCGGAGTCGAGTACTTGAGGAAAAGCAAAAAAATACTGTCAACAAATCTACGAGTGGATTTAGCCTAATCAGTAACGGTGAGAGAAATTAAGAGTAAAAGGAGAACTGTATCTTCAACAGTGGCATCTGAACATAAGAATACTTTTTATTACTGTGATTTTAAATATTTCTATTAAATATTAAAATATTAAATTTCTATATTTTCGGAAATTCTAACCCTCACCATATGATTTTTTCACTTGGCTATGTTTAACCCTTTCAGATTTGTATCGTTGTACAATATCGTTGGTTGCTTGGATTAGCCATCATTGCCAGAAAGCCAAAATGAGAATGTTGATAGATTTGCAAGGTTTTGCAGGCAGAAATATAGATGTATATGGTTTATAATAAATAAATTAGACAAACGAATAGATAACGAATAAGCTAGATACACAAAAATAAAAAACAATATTTCGCAAAAATCAAAAAAGATAATCACAATCACAAATTCACTGTTTTAGAGGAATGGCATTCTCCATTCGGTTCGACTGCACACGATGTGTTGATGAATGATGCAATGGGAGCCACAAGGCTTTCTAAAAAAACACAGAACTTCGCACCATTGAAATCTATTTTATTCTTGATATTCCTTTTCCATCAGATCTAATGTTGCTATTTTTAATCGCAGCAGCTAATATTTCAGCTTCTAAAAAACGATATTCGGTAATTTAAAAGGTTTTCTTTTTTGCTTCTCATTTAATGCAAAATGAAGAAAATTTTCCGAAAATTAATTACTTTTAGAGGCTATTTTTTGGATTCGGCGAAATCGCGCTCCTTTCTTATTCTGACATTTGCGCAAATCTCGCCGATTTGCCGTGTTGACAAGAATTTGCTTTTCTTCAAGTACTCGACGCCGGTTAGCTATCCGAGCAACGAACTCTCTAAATCTTTCGACATCCCACTTTTTCATAGTTCCAACTGGGTCGCGACTCGTCAACTTTTCGTTCATTGACACTTTCTGCAGCTCCTTAGAAATATGTTTTTATGAAAACTGATAAGGACAGATACACATCGGGCTGTATGATAAAGTCGAACTTACCTTATTTTCAGGAATTTCCTCATTTTTTAGCAAAAATTTTCTCTTATTTATGATAATATAACTGCCATTTACTTTCTTCAGCTTAATTATTGGCATGCATTTGCAACTGAAAAGGAGAATATATATCAGAGAAATAAAAAACTTCATATTATATTTAAAGCCTAAAACCTGGAATGTGCAAAGATTTTCTGGCATATCAGAAAATAATCTAAAATGGAAACATATAAAGTCAATGTAGAAGAACTCACGAAATAATAATTTAGTTTCAAATAAAAATTTGCTACAAATAAAACTGCGCACCTCGATTGCATTGGTTCGACAATTTTCTTCATTCCTCTATACTTCTCGGTCAAGCTTGGATAGAAAGATTTTTTACGCTTGAAATTCGCTCGCTGTAAGTTAAAGCTTAAATTCAGTACAGTGCAGTAAAGAAAGAAAAAGAAAGAGAAAACCACAAAAAAGACAAATTCAAAAAAAACAAAGCATTTCTAAGCCCCCATTCAGATTGTCACTTATCAATGGTCGCATACTGGATAATTTTTCAATTAGATACAACCGCATAGAAAGACTACACGTATGTTACATGTGATTTAGAGATGTGGGAAAACGTCGGGAAAATATCTGCAACTATCTGAGTAAATTTTTAACCATGTTGACTGGTCTGAACGGAGACAACGGAGATCAAACCAGAAATCCAGAAATGGTAGGTGCTAAGCTTTAACTTACAGTTATACATTAATTAACCAAGAAAATCGAAATTGAATCCATTCTGCTATATTAATGGAACTTAAAGAATCTATTAATTCGACGATTCGCTGGAAAATTTTTTATACTTTTTAACGTACTTTTAATGACAGGGTTGAGTGTTTCCTTATATAACTCACATAATTAGAAACGTGAAACTACGTGATTTCCACTTTTAAGTCAGCGTTAGAGCATAGATACTGCAAATGCTATTTCATAGCTACTGGTAAAGACTGAAATGCTACTGGACCGATTCAATTAAAGAAATGTTATCTGATGAGATACTACCAAGATTTTGAGCTTTCCCGCATAAAAAATTTTTAACTACTAATAAAATAACAAAATATTATTAATTTAAACGGACAATGCCAATATCGGATAAAAGGCCTTTCTAAAAATCCGATTGAGGAAGACATCCCCGTGATCCCCGGCACGTGAAACTTGTTTCCGTGTAGCTAGCAGCTAGTCATTAGTCGTTTCCTCCATTTAATAAAAATTTACTCCTAAATAGACTGATCACAGTTGCAAACCAACCGCATTGACTACTTTTCAAACATCTCCTTTAAAAACTTGGTCCGCAGTTCCGACACATCCTTAAAGTCTGTCATCTATCCTTAAACTTTCCAATATCCCACCCTTTATCTTTTTAAAAACGCCAAAGCCTGCTGCATTCTAGTAAAGAAAGAGAAAGCCACAAAAAGACAAGGCATTTTTAAGCCCCATTTAAGAATGCCACTGATCATTGGTTGCTTATTGGATAACCTTTCTATTAGATAAAACCGCATAGAAAGACTAAGCGTATGTTACACGTGATTTAAACAATATTATAATTGACCCCAAAATTATTTTTTGTTGAACTCATTAAACAATATTATAAGTGACCCCACTAAGCACTAAAAAGATTGCCCCAATCATTGAGCTGAGCCAAGGGTCACATTTGAAAAAGTTGAGAATTTTGCATATTTTGTTTTGTTTCTGTTAATGAACTATTCAATTTAATAATTACTTATTAAGAATTATTATTATCAATATTATCAATAAGAATTATAACAATGTTTCTCTTCATTTTTATATTAATTAATATTAATATTTTCATAATACATATNAAAAGGCCTTTCTAAAAATCCGATTGAGGAAGACATCCCCGTGATCCCCGGCACGTGAAACTTGTTTCCGTGTAGCTAGCAGCTAGTCATTAGTCGTTTCCTCCATTTAATAAAAATTTACTCCTAAATAGACTGATCACAGTTGCAAACCAACCGCATTGACTACTTTTCAAACATCTCCTTTAAAAACTTGGTCCGCAGTTCCGACACTTTTGACATCCTTAAAGTCTGTCATCTATCCTTAAACTTTCCAATATCCCACCCTTTATCTTTTTAAAAACGCCAAAGCCTGCTGCATTCTAGTAAAGAAAGAGAAAGCCACAAAAAGACAAGGCATTTTTAAGCCCCATTTAAGAATGCCACTGATCATTGGTTGCTTATTGGATAACCTTTCTATTAGATAAAACCGCATAGAAAGACTAAGCGTATGTTACACGTGATTTAAACAATATTATAATTGACCCCAAAATTATTTTTTGTTGAACTCATTAAACAATATTATAAGTGACCCCACTAAGCACTAAAAAGATTGCCCCAATCATTGAGCTGAGCCAAGGGTCACATTTGAAAAAGTTGAGAATTTTGCATATTTTGTTTTGTTTCTGTTAATGAACTATTCAATTTAATAATTACTTATTAAGAATTATTATTATCAATATTATCAATAAGAATTATAACAATGTTTCTCTTCATTTTTATATTAATTAATATTAATATTTTCATAATACATATTTTGTTAATTTATAACTATTTTATAATGCATAATTTATAACTTACACGTTAATTATGTTATTATTGCCACTGCCAGTTCATTTCCATAGTTCTAAGGCGTTGAGGGATGAAATGCTACTCGAGTTCAATGAATATAACGAATATTGAATTCCATTGAAATAATTGCGGTTCAACCAAGTAATTGAGTATTTTAAAGGAGTTAAGAAACATTACAATACAACTAAAATAATATAATAAAATACAACTTAAGTTACTTAGTAAATTAATGTTTATTTCATTTCGTTCAAAAATAATCTGAACTGTTTTACGTCTAACGGCAAAGGCATCTTAGAGACATCATAGCACACGTTCAAGTGGCATTTATTTATTTCAAAATCGAGATGAATTACGATTCTTCTAAATCACTGAATACTAAAATTCTAAAATTTAAGCTTTTATATATATTACGAACAAACGTATTTCAAGCACTTTTTCTATCCGAATTATCCAAGTTTGAACGAAAAACATAAAGGAATGAAACAAATCGTTCAAGCAACGGACGCAAGGTACGCAGTTTTATTTGTAATATATCACGAAATTGCTTTGTGAGTTTCATTTTGGGTTATTTCATTATTTTTTATAATGCAAAAGTTATTAATTATACTCTAATTAATTCGCCAGAAAATTAAATTCTGTTTCGGCTATAAATTTCTACCAAAAATCAAGCTGAAAATAATTAACTGTGGTTATGTAATCGTAAATGAGGAAAAGGAAATTCCTGAAAATAAGGTAAATGAGACTATATCATCGACATATTTCTGTATTTATCAGCTTTCATAAAAACAAATCTTAAAGATGCTGCAGAGAGTATCAATAAACGAAAGAGTGACAAACACGATTCTGTGGGAACTGCCAAGAAGTGGAACGTCGAACGATTTAGAGAGTTCGTTATTCGGATAACTAAGCGGCGTCGAGTACTTGAGGAAAAGCAAAAAATTTTTGTAAACACAACAAAAATGCGAAATTTGCGCAAATGTCAGAAAGGGGTGCGACTTCGCGAAATCCAGAAAATTGCATCTGAAAGTGGCTATTTCTCCATTGTTCTGTAAGAAATTTATTTTGCTTTAATTGGGGAACAAAAGATATTTTAGAAGAAAAGATATTTAACTCTTTTAAATTATTCAGTGTAGTTTTTCAGAAGCTAAAATATTCTTTGCTGGATTAAGAAATGGCAAAGTCGAACTTCCTGACAGGAAAGGAATATCGAAAATAAAATAAATTTGACTTTGCGAAGATTTGTTGTTGTAGAAATTCATTCAACCACTCACTTCACCATTCACCCACTTCACCATTTACCAACACACCAGAAACGAATGCAGCAAACGAATCGAGATGAATTACCATTCTTTTAAATCACTGAATTCCGAATTTGTGATTGTGTTTTTGATTGTTCCACGCCGATATATTGTATGCCCATCGATCGAATTCTTTTTTATTTTTGTATATCCAAATTATATGCATCTGAATTAAATAAATTACTTATATATCTAATTAATCTATATTTCCATCTGCAAATTCGCACGAATCTACGCATATCGATATTTCTCCATTTTTGACGTGGCCATTTAAAATGGGACTTTTTCAAATTTAAATTGGAAAAGCGATTTTTACGGTACTTTCAGTTAAACAATTTCTTAGATATTTTTTTGTCCATTTGGTGCAATTTTATATATNTAATTTAAACGGACAATGCCAATATCGGATAAAAGGCCTTTCTAAAAATCCGATTGAGGAAGACATCCCCGTGATCCCCGGCACGTGAAACTTGTTTCCGTGTAGCTAGCAGCTAGTCATTAGTCGTTTCCTCCATTTAATAAAAATTTACTCCTAAATAGACTGATCACAGTTGCAAACCAACCGCATTGACTACTTTTCAAACATCTCCTTTAAAAACTTGGTCCGCAGTTCCGACACTTTTGACATCCTTAAAGTCTGTCATCTATCCTTAAACTTTCCAATATCCCACCCTTTATCTTTTTAAAAACGCCAAAGCCTGCTGCATTCTAGTAAAGAAAGAGAAAGCCACAAAAAGACAAGGCATTTTTAAGCCCCATTTAAGAATGCCACTGATCATTGGTTGCTTATTGGATAACCTTTCTATTAGATAAAACCGCATAGAAAGACTAAGCGTATGTTACACGTGATTTAAACAATATTATAATTGACCCCAAAATTATTTTTTGTTGAACTCATTAAACAATATTATAAGTGACCCCACTAAGCACTAAAAAGATTGCCCCAATCATTGAGCTGAGCCAAGGGTCACATTTGAAAAAGTTGAGAATTTTG